GTAGCCTCTGAGAGTGCATTCAGCACTGGTGGTAGGGTTCTAGACCCATTTAGGAGCTCCTTAACTCCAAGGGTCGTTGAAGGACTTGTTTGTGCTCAAAATTGGCTACGTTCTTCTCCCTTTCCTAATATAGAAGAGTGTTTACAAGAAGTTGAAGATCTTGAAGAAGGTAACATAAAACAACAATTATCATGTTATTTTTTTTTCATTATTTCATATATATTATGTAACTTGTTTATTTTTTTTTAATGTTATTAGACTTGAGGAATATGACAATTGGTGGTCAAAACCCGGACTTGGTTGAGCTTGATTGAGAGTTAGCTGCCAAGAATGAAGCTGCCCTATTGATTGAAGACTTGAAGTTTCTGCCAAGAGCCTAAGAATGAAGCTGCCCTGTTGGTTGAACTAGTTCATTTGTGGACTGTTTGTCTGTTTTATTATCAATTCATCATGTGGACTGTTTTGATAGTTTTAAGACTTGTTAAGTTCTTATGTCTCAATGTGGACAATGTGTAAGTGTATTTAATTACTATGGTCTATGGCAGTATGGCTGGACAATTTAGTTACTATGGCAGTATGGCATATGGTTGTGACTTGTGAAAGTTGTATGTTAAAATTTATGCTTTAATTTTGTTCAGGAACAGGTACAAAATTTAGGCCTTAAAAGGCCCAAAATTATATGCCCAATAAAAAGCCCAGATTTTAAGGCCTAATACAGCAGCCCATAAAAATTCGGTTTGGATTGGATTTAATTCTCAAAACCGAATTATTTCGGTTTGGATTGGATTTAATTCTCAAAACCGAATTATTTCGGTTTGGATTGGATTGGATTGAATCCAAATTCGGTTTGGATTCGGTTTCAAAAATCCGAAACCGAAATAATTCGGTTTGGATTCGGTTTGGGGTGTAATCCAAACCGAATACCGAACTTTCACCCCTAGGTTTGAGCATTATTTGTTTTATGATAAAAGTTCATACCATTATTGTAGTGATAAAATCATTTTAATGTCGGTGTGTTAGCCTTGTCAAAATCCATACTTTGAAGTAGTGATTACTATTTAACCTTTTGAACTCCCTATCTTCTCTAAATTTTGGTGACAACATGTTTGATAAAAAAAAGACATAATTATATTATATAATATACTATTTTTTTTTTTAAAAAAAGGCTAGATTTGGTTTTTGTTGTCTAATTGGCTAATTAAGAGATTAAACAACAATGATATGTTATGTCTTGTGTGATTAAGGACAAATAACATACCAACCAAACATCTAAAAGTGCTATATTAGCATAAAACTCTCTTTTAGTAGCTAAAAGCTTTGAATTGAGAGAAAAGGAGTTTGTACTTGATTAGACTCTCCATCCTTCGACATATACAATTGCATAGGAATGAATAAAGGAATGTACATGTTCATCTAGTAGTTCATTTTTTAACATTTGTGCTATACTTTGACATTTTAATCTATTCACATGCTTTATTTTGAATTTTTGAGGAAAAATTGGTCTCAACACCCTGAATTATAGCTTGGGTATAACCAACACACTGAACTTTGAGTAGTAGCTAGAATACTGCCAATTATTGATTGAGGTACGGGTGAAACATGTGTCATCAATTACCCTTTGGTTACCAGAATTGTCTCAATTTGAGTGCCTAAATTACCCATTACTGATTTACTAGCACGCATTGCACCCCAATCAATAGTTGATGGTGTTCTACTAGTCAAATTTTAAGGTGTTGGATGTACTCAAGCTATAATTTAAGGTGTTGAAGCCAATCTTGCCTTATTCTATAAATATACTTTATTTAGATATTTTTTGTTATAAATCAATTGTTAAGATTTCACATTATGTTGGATTTGACTAATATATATATATATATATATATATATATATATATGTATATATATATATATATATATATATATATATATAGTTATCAATATTTTTTTTTTTTATTGAGATATATATGCTTAAAGATAATACTTGTCAACTTTACGCGTTAATAGTCATGTCCAATAAAAAAGGAGCAACAATGTTAAACAAATAATAGGATATTAATTTATCGAAAAAACTAATATCATCCTCATTTCCTCATTATCCAAAACTCGAAACGTACACCATAATAGAGAGGTAAAGATAAAGTATGAAAAGATGGTGATACTAGATGAGAGATAGATAAAGAAAGATGTGTCGTAAATTTGACAGTTAGTACTGTGTCTTGTAATACCCTAATAAGCCATGCATGTGAGGAAGGTGATCCAAGCCAGCCTACAGAGGTAGTTACGTTGTTAATTGTTAGCCTTTCAAAGTCTTATGTAATGCCTCGGATGCTTGTTTTCTTTAAACAAAAGATAAACGATTTGATGTATGTTTTATTTTGTTGAAGAATTTATGTCTCTTATTACCAACTGATTAATTTATATACCCCCCTCAACTACAACATATTATATTATTTTCCACTTGATTCAATGAATGTACATAATATAGTAGGGGTTTTTTCTTTTAAAAAAAAAATCAATTATGTATTTTAATAAATTAAAGTGACATAAGAAATGTCTGCAAAGAAAATCTAACTTCAACAAACACAGAAAATTGATTCAAATAAATTAAAATAAAATGATCAATGAATAGGCTTGCAATGAATTGTGGTACATCGTGTCGCTGGAATATATATCTCACACACATATATTTATTGAATCCAAAAATATCTTTCGCACTTATTGCTAGAATATACATACATCTCAGGCACTTATATAATGATCTAACAATTTGTTACAACAATGGAGATGGATAAATTTCATCTAGTTGATTCATTTGAACATATTTGAAAAGTTATTTGATAGTTATTGGGATCCCACACAAATCTTAACTAGGCCAATGAACTTATTTACACGCAAAACATAAGAGACTTTTTAATAAACTTAACATGCACAATTGCACATTACTTTACTTTTGAAGCTTAATTTAGGATAGTAAACGATTCCTTTCTATTAGTACAGCACTTATCTAACTAACTTTAGGATTCCTATTATGTTAAATTATTCATTCGTTCCTTGCCATGGTCATTTATCATTATGGGGATGTTTTATAGATAATGGAAATGTTCATAGTCCAAAGAAAACCCTATTATGTCGAAGCTTAATTTAGGATATGGAAATGTTCATAGTCCAAAGAAAACCCTATCATGTTGAAGCTTAATTTAGGATAGTAACTTATTCATACAAAATTTTAAACCTAGCTAATATGAAAGTTAAGTTAATATAAATATAACTATATGCACTATGAGCATTTTGAATCCAATTCAACCCGTGTGATATGATAAGTTCTAGTGCATTTTTGGTACAATGAGGTGCTAACAAAGGTGTCTATTAGTACAAACACTAGCTATATGAAAGTAAAATTTCGAAACTATTAAATAAATAATAATGGTATATAGATACTATAAATCTGTAACAATAAATTATCTAATTAGTATCAAAGATAAGCTAAAAATGCCAATATAGGTCACTTGAGGAGTTGAGTCCAACTTTGAATCTTTGATACAAGCCAAGTAATGACATCTTTTTTTTAAAAAAAAAAAAATCCTTTCAGTACGAGTAATTTTACATGGAATAAATATGACCAATTATCACAGATGATTTGTGTTGGATCTTGTTTCCTAGAAATTAGGGATTTTGTTGTTCATAATTGATGATACTCCCTCCGTTTCATAATGTTAGTCTCATATATTATTTTGGGCGTTTCAAAAAGATCAACCCATATTGAATGTAATTTATAACTTGATTTTTTTCGAATTAATTGATTGTGGATCGATGACAAGACTCTAAGTAAGGAAATATTTACCTTAAATTATGCAATTATGACTTGTGTTTTCCTAATAAAAAATCAAAAAATTTGAATAAGGTAAACTAATTATGAATTATGTTGTACTTTAATGTTAGATTTCAAATATTTTTTTTCTTATTTTATGTGATTGATTCCATATGAGACTAACATTATGAAACAGAGAGAGTATTGTATAAGGCAGATTTACATCAATTTTACTATAAGTCAATTTGATGGTCATTAATTTTAACTAATTTTATGATTACCTTTTTTTTTTTTTTGAGGGGAATTTTATGATTACCTTAATTCCTTTAAGGATAACTTATAATTTGTAATGAGTTTAATCGTATTTTAATTAATGTGTAATTATTAATTGATACATACTATGAAAACTAATATGACTAATCTCATACTCTATAATACTCCAACTATCAAGGGGCATAAAATATGGTGTTTCAACTAGGTTTTTTTTTTTTTTTTTTTTTTTTTTTTTTTTGGTGTGTGTGTGTGTGTTCCACCTGGTTCAACCTTTAGGCTAATCCGAATTTGGAGATCAATTTTGGGTGGTTAGGTTTCAGTCCCCTCTCAATTGTTGTTGCGGGGGATCGAACACAAGTCCTCCTTACCAAGTATAGTCCTCAATCACCACTACACCAACATTCACATATTGCTTCTTCAAGTTAGTCGGAGCTTGAAAAAATATTCAAAGCTTATGTTTTTCAGCCGTGAGGGTCGTTGCCACCTCTAAGGGTTCCGAAGGAGAAACGCCATCTAATTTCATAACTTCTTCCAACACCTTATTCACATCATCATCCATTTTTTGCTTCCTTTATTCGGCTTTGAACCATGAATTTGCCATATAGTGCCAAGAGTTGCATTTATGCCCTCAAAAATTTTCCCAAAAGTTTTAGAAGTACTACAAAGAGAAACTACTAACTCTTAACATCATCTACCTTTTGATGTATCTTTGCTTTTTCCTTCATTTCTTTCATCTTAGCTTTCTTGGAAGGAGTATTATCAACCTCGCTCTTTCTTCATTGGGACTTTGGGAGCTTATGGGATTGAGTTGTTGATTGAGTGGAATGGGTAGAATGAGTAAAATAATATTAATTTATTTATTAAGTTATTTCTAACAAATTTTCATTTCATATATTCTTACCTTATATTTTTAACTATCAATTTTCTAATATTTTCATAAATGTATCTTGATTATGGTAGTAGGACATAAAACTTTCAAATAATGTCATGAAAAACTCATAAGACACTATCATTGCCCTTGCAATAACGTGGAGAGTCATTTTCTTGCAATAGTTATTTTCAAATTTCAACCATAATTAAACATAAGCAGTTAATTAATCATTCAAAAACATAAACAAATTTTAACCCTCTTATGAAACTCTAAAATCATCCATAAACAACAAATAGCATAACCTTAACATAAGTTTTGTTTTTTAAAAAAAAGGGAAAAAAATAAAATAAATACATATGCCTAATTCATACATTGCATATTATACAAGACTTGATTGACAAGTAATCGTTACACTTTCTTGGAGCCGTTGCTGTATCATCATCTTCTATGCAGCTCAAATCATAGCATCTGTATAAAGATGGGAACATTTGTTGAGGTGAATGTTCATTTATATTTGAAAATATTATATAATGCAATTAACTAGTTTTATGACACATGCGATATACTAGATCAATATATGTTCACTAATATGTGGTTAACTATATACAAAAGATAACATTAAATATTGGTATTATATGATTTTGAGATTAAGATCAAATAATGTAAGTTTAGCATGTTTAATATAAAGTGAAAACTACAAAAGGTGAGATTTGATACCACGTTCAAGGGAGTGCATCTCAACGCATAGGTCCTATATGTTTTGTAAATGTATAGGAGGGCAAAAATGTAAATTTGACAAGCTTTTGGAAAAATACTGATTTTATAGTGGTACATTATAATGTACTATTATTTATCATTATGCATGTATAATGTACTATTAAGGTATAAGTTGTCTAAATACGTTGTAGTAATTTTTGTGTAATATTATGCATGTTAGTGGTACTTTTTACCATCCTATAGGTTGAATATTTTCCCCCAAAATATTTACCACCTGTCACGCACTTATTATACATGTAATGGTACATTTTTCATCCTATATGTTTGCTAAATCAATAGGAGCTATGCGCTAAGGGTTAACCTGTTCAAGGAGGCATGAAATCCAACAAATAGGGTTAGATATAAGTATCTAACTATATATGGATGAAATATTTTCAATTATATATTAATGCTCCAAATTTCATAAAAGATTTCTACATCCATATTTTTCATGTCTTGTGCATATACTTTTATTTTGCCGACACTTTAAATTTTTATAATTTTATATCATAGATATTTAACACTAAATAGAAAAAAGGTGAGATATAAACTTCAATCTTTACAATGTTTTTTAACCCCATAAAATCCAATTTTTAAAATTTTTTGTGGAAATAAAGGTTTTTATTTTTTTATTTTTTTAGTGTTAAAAAACAAATTCGAGGTTTTTGTAGTGGTAAAAATAAAATTTTCTTACTATTAATATTTATACATTTCCGCAGTTTTTTTTTCAAATCATATGCAAGTATAAGCTTTAATCATATTTATCATACTGATATATGATGATAAATTAAAGTAGTTGTTATTATGTTAATGAGTATATATATAAATGATTTTGCATGTGAAGGAGACTAAATTAGAAAATGTATACGAATTTGACCATTCCTAGCTTTTTTTTTTTATTTTTTTTTTTTATTTTTTTTTAACGGGACCATTCCTAGCTTGGATATTAAATTATTGATAAGGGATAATAAGATAGGAAAGTTACATTAATAAAATTGTACTTTCTTTTTTGTAGACAATGTACTTTAATTTGTATAGTTTTACTTGAGTTGTTGTAAGTATGTTGGACATTGCATGCATGAAATTGATGCGTGTTCCTTTATTTCATACAACACGCTAAACACAAATTGGTCCTACTATAGATTTCTTCTAAGTAAACAGATAGAAAAAATCATCTAATCCAAACATATGAATACATTTGCAATTTGCAATAATGATTCTAAATGAGCTCCCACAACCTAAATACATTCAAAGGGTAGAAGACAATAGTAAATAGCTTCATCATCTAGCTTCATAGCTATTATGGATCATACAATTTATGTGGATCATATAAATTTCACACTACATTACTGGATCATATATTTTTAGGAGGGGCGGGGTACGGTGTCCCTCATATACATTTTATGTGGATCACGTAAATTTCACACTATACATACTACTAAATTTCACACTATATTATTATGCAATCAATATTTTTTGGAGGGGTAGGGTGTCCCTCATCCTTTGGTCAAAAGACTCTTAAATTGCCTTGATACAAACAACATTAAAATGGGAATCCAATCTGCAAGTGCCTATATGTCTAATTTAAGACCGTACAATATCAAACAGTTACCTTAATTTGTATGCAAAAAATAGATGTCAAGATTTTTTGAAAACGAAGGTAGTAAGCTATCAACTCAGTTGTGGGGTATTGATCAAATGTATTTTCAATAATTAGTGACCAACTTAGCAAAGATTAGATCAAGAAGAATAGTCAATTTTGGGGATAAAACTACATAGATAATTTTATAGAAAAGCATGTACATGGCTTAGATTCAATTCATTTCTTTCTTTTTTACCTAAAAATATAAAATGGATCCATTAGATTTCACCCTACAAAATAAGAATGGTTCAGTCAATCTTGCAAAAAATGTGGAACATTTTTAATAATAAATCATAAGATTTGGATTTATACGTAACCATAAGATTTTTTTTTTTTGGTGTTCTACCCGATTTAGCAATAATTAATGTCTCAATTCAATTATCCAAACAAATTATATAGATAAAAATGATTATGACATGACTACTTGATTATGAAATAAGTTAATTTGACAACATATACTTATATATTATGATTGACAAAAATAAACATGCATTAATATGTATAATATAAATAGGTAAATAATACAGCTAGAAGATTAGACATACCTTGAATGAGAAGCAATGAAGCTAACTCGTTATTGGCTGCATCTTGATCATTTATGGGGTCCCTAAGACCATAGCTTGGATCCATATGCATGTCTTTTTGAGTCTTTCCTTCGAATTCCGGGTGAATCTTCTTTTTCATCATCCTTTTCATAAGCTAAAAATATTTATAGCAATTTTTTGATTAATTATTATTATTATAATTAAAAATTTCATGAATTATGATGACTTAAATGGCATCCAAAGACATTATGCACATCCACTTTTATTTTTGGTTATTGTCAAATTATAAGTGTCCTTGTCTAAAGTAATCTAATTCGATTTTTTGACAATTATACTGTTACTGCTTTTGTATTTTACCAACTCGTTTTGATGGTAATAGTAGAGGTAATAGTAATGATTTAATTAAAACTCCATCAATTCATTACGGCCCCTGTTATCTCCATCTTAAAAATATAATATTAAGTAAAAATAATTTCAGTTGAGTAAAAATAAGTTCAGTTCAATAAAATTAATTTCAGTTCAGTAAAAATAATTTCAGTTCAGTAAAAATAAGTTTAGTTCAGTAAAATTCAGTTTTCTTAAAGAAGAATTATAATAGAAAATCAGTAAAAAATAATTTCAGTTCAGTAAAAATAATTTAAGTTCAGTAAAAATAATTTCAGTTCAGTAAAATTAAGTTCAGTTCAGTAAAAATAAGTTCAATTAAGTAAAAATAATTTCAGTTCAGCAAAATTAAGGTGAATCAAAGAGGGCCTACATACTATTGCCATCATTTATGTCTATTCATTAAATGGATTGTAAAATACTTAATGTTTTTAATTGACAATTTGACATCTAATTCAAAATGCTACTCCGTATTTTACTAATCCCTTTGTTTTAATATGATACTCTCATATGGAATCAATCACATAAAATAAGAAAAGAATAATATTTGAAATCTAAATTAATTTACAAAATTGTTTAAAATTAATTTTTTTCTTATTTTTTTTTTTTTTTTGTTGGAAAGTATTAGTCATAATTGCATAATTCAAGGGTGGGATTTCCTTACTTATAGCCATGATATCAATCAACAATTAATTAATTTAACCAATTATAATTTAATATGTGTAAAATAGGAAATAAAAATTAAGTTTAAAATGGAATATATTCAATATGGATAGAGCTTTTTAAAACGCCTAAATTAGTATATGGGACTAACATTATGAATGGAGGGAGTATTATAAATCAAAATAATTAGTTCATTTAATTTATATTTATTTAACATACTTTTGAGATGTTTTTGTCGTCTACTATTTCATAAAGTTAAGAACCACTTAGTGAGTAAAATTAGTTAGTTGTAACTAAGAACTCAAAATTAAAATAGCTTGATAAACTACAACTAACCTTTTGACTTTCAACTTAAGAAGGATTTCCAGTAAAAAAAATAAAATCAAACTTTCATAAAACGCAATTTTCAGTCAACCAAAGGATACCTTTCTATTCAATTAGCTAGCTAATCCTTTTCATTAGGCTTTGCTAAACTTTTCTACTACCAATCCTAACGTTCTGCTACCTTTATAGCTAACAAGTATCTTATCAATTTTCAGGTATCAATTTCGTCTAATAACTTATCAATTTCAACTATTCTTGTCGATCATCCAGTTATTTCAAACCTTTTTACTATTATGTATCAATATATTCTAAACATGATTAGTATTATTCTAATGGTACATTAATACGACAATCAATTACTTCCAGGTGCCAACTATTTAAGTTATCAATTTAAACGACAGTTAATATGCAATTAAAAAAGTTGTTACCAAACAGTATGAAACACCATACTCTCTACTTTTTATTATTATCTATCTAATTTATAGTGAATTTAAGCGACAGATAATATGGAATAAGAAAAGTTCGTTACCTTGTTGAACTTCTTGAGTGGGTGCAAATCCTCCTTGATGAGCTTTTTGGCTTTAGAGATGCCATTTTTTAGCACGAGAAGTCGGCTTCAAAGTCATCTCAAAGCTTAGTTTTCCATTGCTAGTATCATCCTTAACAAAAGCATCATCAACATAAACATCCTCTACCTCTTTCAACACTTTGACAGGGTGATAATCAGAGTCTTCTAAGAAAAGGTCAGCAAGAGTAACTCTCCTCTTAGTTTGTCCTTCATTCTCATTAACATCACAATTATTAGCATCTTTCAATTCCACAACATTTTCAACAACTTCTTCCTCAATGATCTCATGGTTAGCACCAATAACCTTCTCCAATTCATGGCTAAAAAACTCGACATTCATCAAAGGACTTGCTTCATTATCACATTCAATTTCATAGTTGTCGATATCAACATCATGTTCATTGACAATGTTAGCCATTTCGTGGTCACGAACATCATCTTCTTCCTCGAGCATTCCATACTTACAAGCCTCCAAGGGACTAATAGCAATAGTTCCAATGGATAGAATTCCATCATTCCAATGGTCGAGCATGTCGACTACCATATGAGCATCATTCCCAAGCAAAACATGCTTATCATTTTGTATCTTTGAGCTTGCACCTTTCTCTACTTCATCTTCTGCACCATTCATATTCATGTATATGTATTTTTGTATATTAGCATACTACATACATTTAAGTGGCCATTATTAAAGAAATTAAATTGTTGAAGTTTTTAACTTTCTACATGCCTTTATAGCTAAGAAATATAGTGTAAAACATGGCATGACATAATAGAATTTGTAGCATTTAGAAAATATAATATGTAGCATTGACAAAATAAAATAAATAATTTAGTTCCTTTGCATGATAACAATCAAATTTATATATATTATCTTATAATTGTCTAAACCCTTCATGCAATGCATGGAAGCTATCAATAATAACTATGTTACTCCCTATATAATTTAAAATCAAGCTATCATGTTGGTGGAAAAATGAAAAGTAGAGTACCTTGGAGAAAAGCCGTGCATGAATTAACATTCAGAAACCGCCGATGAACCCAATTAAAGACCTGAATAAAAGAAATGTCAGCAATTAGTCGATTTATTAGGTAAGAATGTTCAAAATACCATGAGCGCGATATTATAGTATTGTATAGAAATAGAAAAAACATCAATGAAAATGATTCATGAATTGTTGCATGGAGAGTAAAGACTAGTGAACTAACCTTCATTTTGTTTGTTGCCACTTTTGCTTTAGATGGTTGCAGAGTAAGGTAAATTTAAGTGTAGCTAAAAATTATTTTGGGTCAAAAAAAATTGGGCTAAATAAAAGAAATTTGATGTGAGAGAAAGAAGAGGTTAAAGGAGAATTGGGCCCATGGATGGGCCCATGGGCGCATGGTATGTTTTAGAAGAGTTTGTGTTGGGTATTTGATGGAATGATGTATATGTCAAGATTCTTGATGCGACTCTAAGCACGTGACTGACACCCTCTCTTCTATTACACTAATTTTCTACTTCTAGTTAACAACTGTCTATTTATTAGGCCTAATTTTAGCCAAATATAATTTGGGTTTATTATTCATCTATATATATGGGTCATAATTGAAAATTTTACACTACACCCCGGTGTAGCTTCTGCTACCTACACCCCCCCTTTCCAAGTGACGTCATTTTGCACATATAATATTTTAAAACTGAACATATTTTATTAATAGTTGTAAATGAACATACAATTATTTATAATTGAACATTTAATTAAGGAGCACTATTATAGATGAAAAATGTATAAAAATTTATAATTTTGTACTTGTTATTGAAAATTTTTGAAGGTAGCACACACTCCTTATTGTAATTGTAAGAATTATTTCCATGAAAACTACAACATAGCACACACTCTTATTGAAATTACTATTAAATTTGTTAAAATAACTAATTCATGATATAATTGGGTGCTTTAATTAGTAGTATAAAAATAAGCTTTTAAGTATATGCACATATTCATTTTTAAAATTAATGCATTTACTTGTTGATCATGAATAAGAACGAAAATGAACATTTATCAATACGTAAATTAACATTTATATATATTGAAAATGAACATTTATCAATACGTAAATTAACATTTATCATCTATTAAAATGTGAATGACGTTATACTAACATATAAATGAACATTTAACAAAATAAAAATGAACATTTATAAAAAAAAAAAAAAATAATAATAATAATAATAAAAAAAATAACTGCGAACTATAATCTTTGTTTCTCTTCTCTGAAACGGTTTCCTTCGCTCTGCAAACAAAACTGAAGAATGTACAGATATAATTTATTAGTTCTTCAATAAAAATTGCTAAGATTATAATATAATACTTACATTGATTTACATTACTATATATGTAAATGAACATTATGAATTTCATATATGATCAAAAGATTTCATAGTATGCATAAGTCAGTTTCTCAACTCACATGAATGAATATTTATGCATTTCATAAATGTGCATAACGTATCATAAAAATGAACATTTTTTATTTTGGCATATAAAGTCAAATATAAACTCAAATAGATTCAAATATACAAAATGAAACATTTATAATTCAGTATATGTTCATATATTACCTCGGAATTGTAGAAATGTTAACATCTATACCATAAGTTTTAATATCTTTTAAAAGTTCTTGATCTACAATAGGAGATTTTTACAATGATTGTGTAGTAATATATAAATAAATATTTGTATTAATCATTTATTAACATGTGAATGATTGTATACTAATATATAAATGAACATTTATCAAAATGAAAATGAACATTTATAATTTTTTTTTTTAAAAAAAAAACCACTACGAACTAATTTAATTAATGCTTACTTTTCTCCAGTTTTTTTTTTTTGATGTTCTTCTCCGAAGCTATTTTCCTTCATACTGCAATAAAAAAAATGAAAATAACTTCATACTCAAAATTCAAAATGTACTTGTTCAAAATTACTAGTTTTAAAACTAAAAATAGTAAAATGTTCCTGTAACATAATTGCAACAATAAATTATAAAAAATTAGGGTTTATACTCTTTTTCGAATTAAATATGAACAAAATCACTTACTCCTTTGAATTTTGACCTTGATTTGTTGAATTATGTAGCAGTTGAACAACTTTTTTGGATAATTTGTCGCAAAGTTTGTTGAAAATTTTGGATTAGAAAATGCTGAAAATGGGTGTAGAGAGAGAAAATGCTGAAAATGGGTGAGGAGAGAGAAAGTGAAAAAAGATAAATGGTGGTTTGATTTTTACTGTACAATTGCAGAAAGTGAGTATATGAGGGAGATTGTTAAACGCATCGTTTAGAGGGGGTGTAGGGTGTGGTACCTACACTAGGGTCTAGTGTATACCAATTAGGTCATAATGTCACATACACTTGACTAACTTATGTTCTTTGCATTTCAATGTAAATTGAAAGTTCTATGAATTTTGCCATTTTTAAAAGATTATAGATGTATCTTTTTCAAAGAAGGGGAGATAATGTTTGTATTTTAGCTTAATTATTGAGTCAAGTACTAGTTTGTTTAAATGTGTTCATGATAAAGATAATGTACTATACTTTCAATTTGTTTGGGGTGGATATGAGCTAGCTTTGATCCTTTAGTATAATATTGAGAAAACATAGTTGTTGAAAATGACTAGTTATTTTAATCAATTAGTCTCTTTATATTATATACTAAAATATAATGCACGCGATATGTACTTAATTTTAATAAATATTCATATTTAATCTTGTAGAACGATTACATGAATTGCCCATAAGTGCCTCTTATATGCTTTTAATCACAAATGATTAGTTGAAATTTTACAAAAATGTTGAAATGATCTATGTATAAATTTAGTAATATGAAAATTATCGTCACTTATAAATTTAATTATTTTTTCAATAAACTCTTTATTAATGTTATAGCTGCTAGATATATTATTAATAAAAAAAATTACTAAAACTTCTTAAAATAATAAGCCATAAATAATTATATAATGTCTTTTTTTTCAAAAGAAAATTGAATATTGAATATTGTGCTTTGCTAATACACAATCTAAATTATATTTTAAATGTTTTTAAATTGTGGTATATGAATGAAAAAGATATAATATTTAGTGATGATCGATTTCACAATAACATATGATTTAAAAAAAAAAAAATTTAAGACAAAATAAAAATAAAAAAAACTGTAATGTAATAATTTTAAATTGCTTGGCGTATTTATGTAAATGTTTTTTTTTTTTTTGCTTTCTTATTAATGGAAATATGGAATAGTTATTTAGAATTTGAAAACTCACATTAATATGTAAAATTTCATTTATTCTTTTGGGTAACTTTTAGTGCAATTTAGGACTTAGGTAGCTCAAAAGTTGGACACAAACTTTTTACTCCCCTCCCCCTCCCCCCTTATATTATAGAAATATACTACCTTGATTTCATATTATTTGCAACAATTTAACATATACTCTCCCTTCGTCCCTTATTGATATTCCCTTATTGCCAAATTTAAGTCCCAAAAAGATAGTGACAAGCGCACATTAGGGCGCGCTTTAAGGCATATAAATGGGTGATTTTGGATGTATTTAGGCCCGTTTTGGTCGTTTATTGCCTTGTTACACTCGTTTCCTTCATATTACGTGCTTCACGGGTTTCGATCTGTTTTGGTGTGTTAACAGGTATAGTTGACCAAGTTATGTCGAGTCCCGAACCATTGGTGCGTAATCAGGCTATTATCGATCCTAGTCCACCAAGCTAAGGCTTTGCTGCGGTTCTCAAGGCCTTGAAAGGCAAGTTAAGTAGCAGGCAAGGCAGAACAGTTCACAAATATGACACCTGTTCACTATTTTGCTCACAACTTTCGGTATACAAATGATAATGGAGTGATTTTAATTGCATTGGAGAGTAGACTTGAAGAGCTTTCCAACGATATATTGCACGCCTCAAACGGAGCTCTGGATAAGAAGTTGTGACTGTTTTAAGAAGACCAAAGTGCCTGCAACCTTCCTGCCTATGTTGCACGGCCGTGCCACTTTTAGCACGGCCGTGCCAGGCATTAGCACGGCCGTGCCAAGCCAATTTCCATACCCGTGCCGTGCCAGGCATTAGCACGGCCGTGCCAAATTCAGCACGGTCGTGCCATAATTGAAGATATTGCGGATCAGCTACTGCCATGCTTGCACGGCCGTGCCACTTCCAGCACGGCCGTGCCGATTCACGAAGGGCAGTCTGCGATTTACTTTCCGATTTAAAACATATATATATAGCCCGATTGTAAGGGTTAAGAGACAGTTTTTAGAGATAGTTTTGAGAACCTTTGTAGAGAGTTATTGGAGAACGTTCTTAGTATTAGAGATTCATTAGTTTTCTTAGAGATATTTCTAGAGATTTTAGTTTTCTTGGATTGATTTGAAGCAAGATTTGCGAAGATTCTTTGTATTATTCATTGACGACGGATATCAAAGTTCTGAACTTTTCCATTGATTCGCATCAATACAATTGGTATTATTCATTCTTGTTTATTAGTCAAGCTTTATTATTCCTTAATCAGAATTCATGTTTATATCTATTATGCTTTTGGAATTCATTATTGCTTTGATTATGAATATGTGTGAGTAGTCTCCT